TTAGCGACTACTTCAAAATGGCTGCAATGTTTTTCCGTGAGGCGTTTTTCCACCAGAGTGTAGCTCTGAATGAAACTTAATCGAGCCTGAACTGCACCCAACAACTTTTCTGTTTCTTGTGTCCAAACCCCCCCAACCCCCCCCCCCCCACCCCAGAGTCTGATGTTTTCTCTGATTACAGACACATGCTGGGTAAAATATGAACTAGATAGTTCAGCAAATGTGACCAAACCCGACCCAAGCCTGAATATCTCGTCAAATGTCTTGTCCAAGCCTGTCCCGTCGCTCCGGGTGTCCACATGCTACTTTCCACACCATGTTTTGCCGTTCACAGATTCAAATTGCTTTTCCCTCAGGACACCGAACCAGAGCAAGTTACTGAGGGAGACATGTTTCCTCGCTCTGAAATTTAATGGTGAGACGAGTTGTTGCAAGATGACAAAGATGAGCAAGAAAGAGCCGTCCGGGACGGATGAAGGAACGTCACACAGATACAGAAAACTGTTCTGGAAGATTCTCGTTCCACAGCAACAGACGTGAAGTTGTGCTACAAATGAATAAAAACACTCTGTTCACTGCAGCTCAGAGGACGTCGTGTTTGCAGGGACCACATTGACCGGCACGACCACTGCCACTCAAACAGAAAAGACTAAATCCTACACAAAGCACTTTTTCCCCCCCGAGCTGAGAAACCTGCTGCAGGCAGAATGAAGGTGATGTTATTAGCTCAAGTTATTTTGTTGACCTGGCTACATCGCTGCTGACAAACGCCCCGTGGGATTTCACTGCAGGAGGTTTGTGGTTGCTGGTTTTCACAAACTCACTCAATGTTGGACAAAACATGTTTGTCATCATAAAAACAATCATAAAAACATTTTATTCTATTTCTGCCGATGTGAACTCTACACTGCTTTTAGTGAATTCTTATTTGCCTTCAATTATTAATATTTAACCTGTAAAGCACCTTATAACTTTATATGTATATATTATTTTTTATTAATTCAATTATTGTGTTGACCCAAATAAAGTTTGGTCTTGACCTTTACTTTGTGACAATTATACATTACAAAACATCTGTAAGATAATTGGATAAATATTCTTGGTGCACAGTAATGGATCAAACAAAGACAGAGACAAATGAAGGTGGAGACGTGAGCACTGACTGTGAGTCCAGGTTTAGTTTGCTGCTGTATGAATGAATGTGTATATAGAATATTTATTTCCAAACCTCGATAGATTCAAAGAAAAATAATGTAAAAATAAAAAAATAAAATCAGTTGCAAACAGCTTGTGTGTGTCAGCTGTTGATGTTTCTCAGGAGAAAAGAGATACTGAACGTTCTCGTGGCCTGAGGCTCGGAGCAGTTCTTTATTTTGTTGGTGTCTAATCTTCTTGTAGTTTCCCCGACAGGAGGAGGCAGGATTTACTACAGCTGCAGAGGAGGAGGTGCGAACGAGGCCTCCAGGTCATCGCAGCAGCTGGAGACTCTCTAATGGTTTCGTTAAAGGTGGAGAGAAAAGAGCTAGAGCGGATTTCTCACACTGAAGACAAGCGAGAAGACGCTTCAGCTCTGTAATGTCCTGATTGACAGCTGAGACTGACTTGTGATTGGTCGAGAGCATGCATCATTACAGAGGCTCCATCCCCCGATCCCGGCTGCAAAGACTCCAAAATAAAAACACATTTCACCTTCTTTAGTGTCTTTCATTGGTTGCTTGTTTATTTCTAATTGATTTTTGGCATTTAACTGATTCCTTCAAGGCTTTAAAAGTGTTATCTTTCTGAACATTTAATCTTTTATGAGCTTGTTCTCTGCCTGAGGTCTGTGCCCCAGATTAACTGTGCAGAGTCACAAGCACCATCAGCAGCATCAGTGGACACCTGCAGGATATCAGGCGATCAAATGTTATATTTGTCAGGTTTATCGGCCGGGACACTAAACTTGGCACAGTCAATGGAGGTGAAGGTTTGGGCCCAGTAAACATAATTTCTTCTATCTTATCAGTGAAGGACAGTGAGTAGGAGGACTGTGGGGGTGAGATTTGAACATTATGACGCAGAGGAGTCCATCAAGGTGAAGAAGAAAACTGTCCCTGAGAAGAAAAAGGAGAAGGAGGCACGAGTAAATCACGTTTGAAACTTTATTTACTGTTTGCATTAGAAAGTAGTTCTGCAATAAATTCATTACAGTACAAACCGGGAACAAAAATAGAAGGCCACGTACTAGACAGTTTGAGGGGCAGAATAAAAATTTAAAACAGCTTCTCAGAGTTAGACGGGTGAGGTGCTGGAGAGAGAAGACAGCTGGGGGAGGAAATAAGAGGGAAGACAGCAGCGGAGAATAGCAGATGAGTGTGGATGGAAATGAAATGATCAAAACAAAGCAGCCCTTCATAGAAGGAGAGAGTACAGACCTCCAGCAGCTTTAGGTAATGCTGCAAACAATGACTGTCAGCACGTGGGAGAAACATAACGTGTCTCCAAACGGATGCAAAATAACATTATCATTATTTAAGCCTCCCCTCAAAGAACTGTCGACATGATCTCCCAGCTGATGAACGATTTTCTCAGGTCAGGTGTGAAACCAGATATTTCACCTTAACGAGCACCTTTGCTGCACTCGTGCTGCGCTGCGGAAGACACAGCCAGGCTGAATCTGTTGGTGCTCAAATCGAGATTAAATTAGGAATCCAGGAACACGGCCGAAACAGATCCAGGTCACGTAAATCTCCAAGAAACTGGAGAACGCCGCCCGCAGATTGGCCGAGGTTGCCGTGACGAATAAGAAGCCGTGTCCTCTTTAGGAATTGGGGGCTTGGAAGGTCTTGGAGGTGGCCAGCATGGCTCTCACTTTGGCCATCAGATCCTGGAAACAGAGGAGAAATTCATTGTAGGTAATGTGACATTAAGTGAACTTAAAGTATAATATAAACACACTGGGATTGGTGCATCATGGGTGTGAGGAACGTGGGTGTTAAGAACTGATAACACTGGCATGTTGTGAACGCCTGAGGGTAAAACACCACCACCGACTGGGGAAGGAGGCTGCCAACCTGATGAGGCCCTGAGGGGTGTTTACATCAGACAGTGTGTTGTTGGCTCTAAATCCTGCACAAACTGGTTCTCTATGTCCTGGTTCAACTTAAAATGATCTATTGATTCTTCTCCAAAAGGAACAAAGCACAGCCAGGAAAAAGTCCAGTTCAAAATAATTGAGGGGAAAACTTTCGATCTTATTTTCATTTATTGAAATAACCAATTAAACTGATGTGGTTCTTGCTCTGCTGTTATTATTCCAAATGTATTTCTGCTCCGCAATTAATAAACATGTCCGTTATTATTAAGTCTAATTATTCCCCTTCGTATCAAAGATCTGTTAATAATGCTGCTTCCAATGGGAATCAATTACCCGATGTGCACTTCACCATTCAGCCTCTAGCTACTTGTTTACATCAACCATGGAGGATCTGATCTGTTTGGAGGACTGAGTCAGGATCCAAGGAAGAAACCAGGAATGCTTTTCTAATTTTTCTAACATGGCGAGATGAAGCATCAGCCATGTCTATTCTTTATCCGTCTCTTCTTGTCTCTTGAGGAGATGCACACAGTAGAATATTTGTTTCATTGGTTTCCATGTCCATTGTTTAGGATTATGTTTAAAGATGGATAAATCAATTAGGTTTTCAGACCACTTCCTTTTGTCTTTTACATTTCCACTGACGGAACCATTGAGTAGGCATGACTGTCATTGGTGTAAGTTTGTGCTCTGTCATTCAAGCTGAAGCTGTTTTATATGTATTAAGTGCAGATTAATACCCAGGAAGGTTTTCAATTTCCTCTCCCTCCTTCTTGAGGTAGAAATGTAGATTTCTTGCTGACCAGGGGGGCGAACGCTCACATTGCTGAATGGGAAGAATTCATTTTCCTCCCAAGAGTGATTCAAACACGCATGGACAAATATTCACCCTTGAGCTTTACTGACAGATGAGACAAATTAACAGCTGTAATCACAGAGGAAGAGGCTGTCGTATCAAATCACTCTGAGGCTGTTCCTCTCTTAAACCATTGTTATTACTGAAAACACGCTGTGACAAACAATACTCCACATTATAACCAACTCAGTGGACAGAAGCTCAAATACAGCTGAATTCTTTTTAGCACCAAATGTCTTGGCAAATGAAAGAGCAGCAAAAAAATTACCTCCCAAGTCACATTACAGCTGTCACACACAGGGAAGCCAACGATGGTTACATCATGAATCTGAAAGAGGGTGAAGCTCACTACAGATTTAAAACTTAATATTCTTTCTATCATTCGACCTTCTGTTGCCAAAAATAGTTAAAAGTTAGATTGGAAGAGAAACTTCTTACTCCGCACTCTTCAGATACAGAGTAAACCCACAGTGGAATATTTAAATCACATGTGATGCATTTCACTCATAAAAGGTCCTGCAATTGAGATGTTAACTTATTATTACGGGTGGTTATGTTTTCACCCCTGCCCATTGGTTTGTGAGCAGGATCACGAAAAAACATTCACATCAAACTTGGAAGCAGGGGACTTGAGCCAAGAAAGAACATTTGGGCGCAGATGTAGACAAAGGGATGGATCCAGGATTTATTTTTCACTCTCTTTTAACATTGGAAACTTTTTTTGGACATTATTTACAGATATCCCAGGACATAACGCACAGAACTTGATAAAAGAACAATGATGCATATTTAGGGAGCTGCATTCTATACATTTGTGCAATTTGGTGCAGATCCAAATACAAATCTGGCTCCAGCAGATTTAAATAAGGTTTCATTGGGGAGTAGGACTTTTTAGATGGTGAGAAACAGGCCTCGAAAGCTGGAGCTACCACCAACGTGTCGCTGAGATAATAATTCATTTGGTTTGTCTTTTTAATCAACGTACCATTCTCCCACAATGGAGATTAAGATTTCATTAACTGCATTGTGTGTTGGCTAAGCTATGTGGTTTGATTGAATTGAAGCGGACTGTTGGGCCTTAGTGGAGGAACGCTTTCCACCGAGTGCTGTTCTAGTTATTTGAAATGACTAACTCTGTCATAAACATGCACAAACTGAGTGCTGATATGAAAACTATGTGGGAACAGGAAGTCCACCTGATTCTTCTCTGCAGCTTTTTGTGTTTTAAGTTGAGCAGTGGTGTCACTTAAAAGACGACACGCTGGTAGTCATGCAATTTAAAAACTCATGTCGTCACGTAGAAAACTTTAGATCCAGTAAAAAAGGAAGGGCTTATCATGGAGACCCAGGCACCAGTGATGGCCTGAGAAGCAAATGCAATTAACCTCATGAGTAATTGGTGCAGTTTCTACCCCCACCTCCTCCAACACTTACTCATACTTGAATTGTCTTATTCCAGGCTAAGATTACAGGAGTTCCTAACCAGTTTAAAAGCAAACTGCATTACGCACTTGGGAAGCAATTTCACACATTTGCTGCTAGTTGCAAACATCCCCACACTGAGCTTCACAGAATTACACTTCACTATGCTGTTAGCAATGTCCCGGGTGAGCTATGCAACACCTGGAGCCTTCTCTCCGTCTAGAACTCACACAATCGCACTCTCGGATAAGTTCTCCTCAAATCTTTTCTTTTTAGCCTCGTTACAGGTCTAAAAGCTTCCCTCAAAGTGCACTAGGTATGCACCAAACAGAGTACACCACATCAAACACACTGCAGAGAAGAAGAGGAGACAGAAAACAGAGGAACAAAGACCAACATTAGGAAAATAAGAGACGGGATGAGGCAAATAGCGACCGGGCACCCTCAGGAAAGAAGAGACCATTAGGCAGATGAGGATGTGCTGAATTATTCAAGATGTGTTTGTAAAACATCACAGATGGGGTATAAGAAGTTAGTGGTTGTGAAGCTGCGTGTGTGTTGCGACGGCAGCGAACACAGTGTTTCTCGGGCGCCTGCTTTTGTTGGGATGAAGGCGGGAGAGGAGACGAGCTTGCATTTGTTTGTAGGCGATAATGAGAAAGAGAAAGAAATCAGATGTTTTAGCTTGAGAGAAGCATCGGGAGGGAAACTCACTGAGACACAGACACAGGGCTGCCCGTAGCCAGACGAGAAACTATGATCCAAATTATGTTTTTCCACTTGTAGCGGCGTTCACAGAACGTCTCGTGTTGACTCTGCATTCACACTCTGTTGACCTCCATTAGCTTGAGTCCCAGTGCTTTTTGGTAGTTCTAAACGCTCTTACGCTACATGTTCATAAAATATTTAGTTACAAAATATTACTGAAGTCACATTTACTGTGTAAACTGACACACTGGGCTCTACACTCCTGGTTTCACACATGTGGTTGCAGACTGGTTGCATGAGAATCGATATCAGCAAAATATTGCATCACTTCACACAACGCCATGATGGTAGAAATTAAGAGCTCCGATATTTTGGAATAATTGATCAAATACACTAAAGGGAAATGTAAAGTCCAGACGGCTGAGGAAACGTCTGTCTGCTTCCAATTGATTAAAGGCTTTTGACAAATCAAAGTAATTGATTTTGAAGATTGACGGAATGTTTTCTCCATGTTTCCACAGACGTTAAAAATAGAAACTGAAGAGGTTGTGATTTTTTTGCAGCTCAGATTAGTATTGACAACCTTTAACTGCAGTGACACAAACACCAACAAAGAAAAATAAAGACAAGCAGTTTTGAAGACTCTAATGATCCAATGATTTTGTCTCTCCCCTTAAATCCAATGAGTTTTTAGTCTTTTTCTAGTCCCTCTGTTTATATTCCTCACAGAACCAGTGCGTGTGCATGCATGTGATTGTGGTGCATTTGTAAAGGCAGTGATAAATTGGACATTGCAGATGTAACCGGGAGAACACGCACCGCAGATCAGACTTTATTGGTGAGGTGTGTGTGAGGTTACAGCGAGACTAATGAGTGTGTACCATTTATTCAGACACATTATTCCAGCTATTGTAAGCCAAATGGGGAACATGGTGTTCAACATTCCACTTAGCTTCATTTAAACTGTCACAATTGTACAACCCAGTCATTACATTACAATACAATATAAGGCCAAAAGTATGTGGACACGCTTGAATGCTTTTGTGTACTTTTGGTCTGGGGCTGTTTCTCATTGTTTGGGTCTGACATCTTAGTTTGAATTAAATGGGAATATTTTTTTATTTAGTGTTTTTTAACCTGGGCCGTATGTTTGTAAATGTGGGTGAGCAGAGTAATTAACAGAAACTGGAATTGGTTCAATAGATTGTTTCCACCAGCTGCGACACAGCAGCTGTGGCTACAATGTTATCTGATGGGGCAACTGCGACAGTCCATGAAATGTTCGCTGAAAGTTTTTTTTCCCACCAAAAAAGGCTGAAATTGTTGTTGTGAGACTTTGCTAAGAATCAAGCCTTACTACAAGTCTAGCCCAGGTTCAAAATACTGGAATTACCTTTGAAATGGAATTCATGAAGGTAAAACATACAGAAGTACTGGAATATAAAGGAATCATTTCTAGTTTTATCAGGTACAACCACCCCCAACCACGCTTATGAGCGATTAAAACTCATATCTTCTTTTCCTGAAAACAGAACTTTCTTCTTTAATTAATTTCTTGCTCCTTCCCCACACACATATGAATAAGAAGAGTAGACACTCTCATGGGGTTTGCTGTATTTGCAGGATTTGGGTGTATGTGTGAAAACAAAGTATAAAAACCTGTTTACCAACTCATCAAACAAACTATAGATGTGAAAATACTTTTCGACTCAAGTGTCCTCCCGATTTTATGGCAACAGTTAGTGGAGGACCCTTTCCTGTTTCAACATGGCCTCAACCCCTTTTGAAAACCTTTAGAATTAATTTTGGAAAGCTGAATGTGAGCCAGACGTCATCGCCCACCATCAGCAGCTGACCTCGCTCACGCTCTCGTGGCTGAATGGGAACAAATCCTTGTGGACTGGCTCCAAAAATCAAAAATAAATGGAGGTGGTTACTGTCTTTAACATATGCAACTGATATTATTTTTTCAGATCAGAGAATCACACTCGTTCTAAAGTTAGATCGTTCTGGAAACTATAAAGTCTGGGTGTATTATACAAATCTATGGTGCATAATGAAGAATATCGGTTGATCTGTATTTTTTGTGTGAAAACTTCCTGCCCTTCCCATTTGCATGCTGGAAACAGAACACCACTCTTCTTTTATTGGCTCGGCTGTAAAGTTTGACAGAGGACACATCTGGGATAAAAACCAAGAACGGTACCTGAGTTATTTTGGACTGAACAGAGGATACTATGGATGAGGACACCGCCTTGTCTTTCTCCTGAGAACCATCCCTGTGAGGAGGAAACACAAAAGGGAGAGGAGGCAGAAAGCCAATCATGTAAACAGAAGAGGACATGCAATATTCATGATGTCTTCTGAAAAGTTCAAAGTTGGACAGGCATTGAGAGCAGAGGAGGGAGAGGGAAAGGAGTGAGCGGTAAGAGAGGAACGCGAACTGTGAAAACTAAAATATATACAAACGCAAACCACAACTATTACGTCCACAGTGTGAGATGCAGCCAAGTGTCTTATCATGTAGACAAACAGTGGAAAGTGCCAAAATTGCTGGCCTCAAATTCAACTTCATGACTCTGTCTAAAGCTTTTAATCTCACTACCATCTAACAATTCATTATTTATCAAAAGGACTTTTAAAATAGAAAAACGCATGTAAATTGAACACAACAGGTGAAAGGAAACTGCAGAACAGACAGCTGCAGATGCTGCAGAGTTTTCAGGCATCACTCCTACACAGGAAATATCTTTGTGTCTGTCAGTCAATCTTTTTCAATACAAAAGATGGGATTATATTATTATGCTTCTGTGGCTCCATTCTTTGCATAAAGTCAACAGCAAAACCTGAGACTGCCACAAACCAGCTCCATCCATTCACACAGTTTATTTGTACACGCAGGCGATGCAGAACTTCTGTTAACACAGTAAACGCACAAAAATAAAACCCCAGGAATGATTCCGCTTATCTGGCACCTCTGGGAAAAGATAACTCAATACATACAAGTGACAAAAAGCAAAAGAAACCCACTGGAATTATCGGGTTGCTGTTGTATGCTGACACAAACGTCAAGTTTCAGGATGTGAAGTCACAAACTCCCCTTATGCTCTAGAGTCATGGCAATGAGTAATGGCCATGAAGTCGGCCTTTGACCTTCTGGATATAAAACTACATCACTTCATGATTTTTATCCTTTTAGACAATTGTGTGAAATGTGCAGCTAGTGTATGTATTATTGAACTTAGGCCAAAAATGTGTTTTGCAGGGTCACAGTGACCTTTGACCACCAAACTTTCACCCTCCAGTCCCAGTGGACGTTTGTGCGAGATGTGATGAAAGTTGCTCCAGGTGAGCCTGCAGTCATTAACACGGCTCCGGCTGGAATTTGCATGTTTTTGTCGTGACTGCGTGTGTTTCCTCTGGTTTTCTTAAAAAAACATGCAGTAACAAGACGTGGTGATTTCACCTGGTGGCTCTAAATTGCTTATAGCTTTGAATGTGAGTGTGAATGGTTGTTTTACTTTATGTGTCAGCAGCTGCGACATCTGCTTGGGTTGTACCTGCCTCTCGCCCAATGTCAGCAGGGATTGCACTCTCAAAGGAATAAGCAGAACGGCAAATGGATGTGTGGGAAATAAAGGGAGTGAAGTCAGTGACCTTGAACCTTGACCACCAAAATCGATTCAGTTTTACTTTGACTGTAGGTTCAGTTTTTGAATTCTGAGACTCCTGATAATGAGGGAGGACAAATTGGAAAGTTAAAACCGTCAATGGCTTTGGACGTGTCTGTGCAGAGGTAAAATGAGAGTTCCTTTCCTGAAAAAATGCTTTTAGAATAGAAAAAAGCTCTCCTTCAGCAAACTGGGCACCGTTTTTCCTGCCATGTTTGTAGACATGACAGTGATTTCTTTGTGGATTCATGCAAATGGAAAGTTGTGTTTTTATTCATAATGGTCTGTTGTTACAAATGGTCCGCTCTACTTGAGAATTTTTACAATGGATGTATGTTTTATCTGGGGAACGAACAGGAGGGGAGGGTGAAGAATGAATAAACCATGACTTCATTCTTTTTGTCCATGTGACTCCACATTGTGCCCTGCACCGTTCAAACATTGATGTATAAAGCTTTATTCCTTTGTTGGATATATTTTAAACAGCAACCCAACAACGCCCAGACATCAGAGGAGATTATGTTGGTCGTTACGAATGCCTTAGTGCTTTAAGACCTTGAAGCTGCAAGACGTTGGCTCCAGGCCAACATATCACTGGCTCTTTAAATTTAATGCTTCAAGTATCTTCCATACTGGATTTAGAATTCCTCCGACGCCAGTGACAGTACTCAAGCTTTGTTTTACCCACTTTTATATTCACAAAGATGGAATTACAGTTGTTTTCTGCACATCTTGTGGATGATACTGCAGTTTAATACTGATGGCACATTACACATGGAAACAAATTATACTGCCTCTCTGTCTGGATTAAATTTTATAAAAGGAGAAACCTTTAAAAAGGTCTTAAAATGATACTATATAGTAAATCCCAAGCGACAGGGCTGTGGCTGAGACGGTTTGTTTGTACTTGGCCGCGATCTGAATGAGGTTACATGTAGTTCATGTTGTTCATATATTCAAACAGTATGTTCTCCTTTAAGGCTTAATGTCTTTGGTGAATGTTACCTTGGGTAACGTCTTTGGCTGAGGTTACTGGAGTGTAAATTCCCCCAAATCCAATAAAGAGCAGGACAGAGGTGCTTTGTTTCCTGACACTCTGATGTCGCAGCACCAAGCAGCTCTTGAAAGAGCAGACAAAACCCCCACTTTAAACCAGTCTTTACACTTTTGATCTTGAACAACCCTTTAAACTCTTCAAATGCTTGGAATTATTGCTAATACACCTTCCTCAGCCAGTGGAAAAACGTGGAGGATTCCAAAGCTGACAGGTCTCCAGTTACTAGTTTTGGTTGCTAAGATGATAAAAGAACAGAAGGAACATGATTACAGCAAGAGCTTGTGTTTGTCAAAAACCTTAAAAGAAAGGATATTAATTTGACATCATCTTCAGTCTGGCTGCAGTTTTGTATTTTGAAAAGATCAACTTGGGAATACCAGATTCAAGAGTTTTGGTGATTTTGACACTGTGCTACGTGCAGTGGAATTTATTCATCATATCCTGCCTCCTCCATGCTCTTCCCCCGACATGTCTCATCCAAACAATCACCATCTAAATACTCCATATGTGAAAGGCAAACATCGGAAAAAAGGGTTACCGGGAGTGGGTCAGACTGGAGGCGGGGCTAGCTGATGGAGATAAAATCCTCCCGGGTGAGGAATAGGGAGAGAGAGAGGAACCCAAAGTTTGCATCTGTCCTGAGGACGACAAGAAGCGCTTCTTCTTTTCAGACGGGGACCTGAGAGATAAAAGTGCGAAGGGAGTAAGCAGGAGTGGAAATATTTCATATTCAGACAGTAACACTACACAATGTGTACAGTGAATCAAGGGGATATGTTCTGAAGGCAGGGCTTGTGTATTCAGCAAAGCCCCGATTGGATTTAAATTCATCCAAGCGGAATCTGTCCATCACAGCTTCCTTCACGAGTCATTTGGGTTTAGGTATCTTGTCATATGTTGTAAATCCAAAGCAAATACACATAATATCAACAGTTTTCCTCTAGTTTGGTGAAAAAAGAATGAAAACATTAAAGACTCAGCACCCAACTGTGATAATTCCAAAGCTCCTCTTTGCCTTGACAGGTGTAAAAATACATATTTGGTGCCGTATGCGACGACCCGTGACTTTCCCTCTGATCACAGGCTGGCGACACCTGCTGTTAGTGTTACCTGGATTTTGAATGCCCCCTGGGTACATTGGAGCTGCTGCTGCTGGGATGATAGCGGTCCCGCTCCTTCTCTTCACGTCTCCTCTCTGATGAGCTGCCCTTCCTCTCTTTTCTACCCGGGGAGTGTGAACGGGACCTGGCCAGACAAGGACAGACAGAGGAGGTGCGAGAAGGGAGGAAGATATTAAATTACACGGAGCAAACCTTGGAAGATGCATTTGAAATGTGAAAAAGAAAAGGAGAAGATGATGAAGAGAGAGTGATAGGATAATAGTATTAAAGAGAAAGAGTAACTAAGAGTATTTTCAAGTAACTTAACACAAAAAAAAACCAATGAGGATTTAGGGAAAGCATAACTAAGTTTCAGTTGGACTATCAAAGTACCTAAATATGGCACAGTTTTCATTAAGGCAGTTATAAGAGAACATTTGGATTGTATAATATAAAAGTGAGTATGTAAGAAAGTCCAAGTACTAAGCAACTAGGCCATAAGTCTGTGAAGTACTTTGTATTATAATTATATCACACAGGCTCTTAATATGTAAATAGTGTTTTTCTAAATGAACCTGAAAAGAAAACAGTATTAAATATTAATGGTTATGTAAGAGATTAATGCACTTCTCAGATTTCCTTCCAGAAAGGGCACAGCTAAATTAATTTCTCCCACTGGCTCATGTGCAGAGCATGCATGTTATTTAAAAAACATGAAAAAGTGGGTTAGGGATGGAAATTATTTTTATTTTATAGAAACAGACCCAGAAAAGACAAACAAGTGAAGGGAAATCAGTCAGGGCCGGGGAGGCGAAACAAAGCTGTCTGGTCGATATTGTTCAATTCAGCCTGACAGGTAAACGGCAAAAAAAAGCACTTCCTGCTTAATAACCGTCTCTCGACCTTTTTAAATTCTTTCTTTAAATGTTCTTTCTCATATCTTATTTTCTTCGTCTTTAGGCTGTGCATTTCTTGCATTAGTTCCTCTCACTCCCTTTCTCAAGAGGCAGAAATAGGGAAAGAAAGCATTGTAGCAAAAAGAGAAAGGTTAGAAGGATTCATTTATTTCCATTAATATTTTTTTCCTATGATTGAAGCGCGCTCTGCACTAAATGTTCAGCTGAAGTAGAATTTCAAACAGACAGTGATAAATAATCATGTTCTCAGCCTATCACATTACACATCTCAAACCTTTAACAGCAGCAATCACAGACAGGCTTCTTCAAGTAGGACATTAATATTGCTCTTATTGTCTGTGGAAATTGAAAGCCTTAGTCTGAATTCATAGACAGAAAGAATCAGAAATTCATCTAACAGCACAATGATGGATATGTGAAGACAGTGAGTCTTGAGTCTGAATTTTATTCAGTTCGGTTTTAAATACATCTTGCATTAATTGATATTTACTCAACAAACTTAAACTATTGTGAGTCCTGATTTTATTTTTCTGAAAAGATCATTTGTTTTTGATGCACACCTGTCAAACTTATGCAAAACAGCAGAATAATAAGATTGTTAACAACTTGTGTAACTAATTTCCTCATCATAAATTCAAGAACATCCTCCTCTACAGTTTCTAACATTTCCAACAGAAGGAATTTTTTTCTGCAGAAATAAATGAATAAACAATGGAGGAGTCATCCTCCTCCTCCGTACTCCCTCCGCATGCTGTTTTTTTAGCAACCAGCAGCAGAGACCTATAAAGATCTAAACCGAGCAGCTGAACCTCCTTTCTTAAACTAGAGTGAAAGAAAATTCAGATCTAGTTAATATCCAACATAACTTTTTCATGATGGATGTAAATAATTATGGCTTTGTGTGTAGGACATGACTATACATATACTCAGCTCTTCCACTGACAGTTTGCATGATGTCTTACCGGGACCGGCGGCCTTTCCTGTAGGCAGTGGGGAGGGCATGTCTGTTCTTCGACCTCGACCTTGACCTCCTCTTGTGTTTTTTCTTCTTTTTCTCTTTGTCCCTGCCTTTGTTCCTGTCTCTATCTCTATTCCTGTCTCGATCCCTTTCCCTTTCTCTGTCCCTATCCCTTTCCCTCTCTCTGTCCCTGTCCCTTTCCCTCTCTCTGTCCCTGTCCCTATCTCTGTCTCTATCTCTGTCTCTGTCTCTGTCCCTATCCTTGTCTCGGTCTGATCCTCTATAGGAGGATGAGGAGGTTGGCGCCTCCCTGCTGCGATAGGCTCCTTGGATCTCCGTGGGAGGTTTTTGATCCTGAAGATACGCAGGCGTTGCGGAGGAAATATGAGGCAGCGCAAGGTCAGACAGAACAGAAAGGGCTTCTTGCATCTAGAGACAATGGGAGAATGAAGAGGACACAACAAAAAACATCAGTGTAGGCATCGTTTTTACAGACACACATGGATGCTAGGTCTTTTTTAAACGGTTTAAAGATAAAAATAACATAAATCATATATTCATTTAATTAAACAGTCAGTCTCTCTCTTTGACATTAGGGATAGTGCACAATTTCCCAAATGCTTATTATCTCTGTGCATCTGTGGGCAATCAATATGGGGGCCTGACCACTTAAGGAGATGCAGGTGATGCACAAGATTGAGTTTTTAAGGAGATGTATTCATGCAAAATCCCCCGGGTCCCTATTTACAGAATATTACAGAATAATCCAACTGACATGCTAAAGAAAAGGCTAGATAACAAAATAAATAACAGTTCATTGGCTTGTTATTTCTCAAAGAAAAACTGACATGTGATTTCGGGTGACTGGTGACACATTCACTCCTAATCCTCGCCAAATATACATTTTTTCACCTGTATAAACTTGATTAATAATTTGACAGAATGAAACATAAAAGTTATCTGTATGTGATTTATTTTCGATACACAGTAGTAAAGAGGTACAGGTGGTGGGGAATTTGTACATCGGAACTTCTTTTTAAGAAGATATGAGCGCTAAAAGAGGGATGGGATTGTAAGTGGATGGCTCAGGGAGAGTCAAAGTCCCTGGCTCCCTTGGGAAATTATTACTCATATTCTTTCCTTACTCAGCTGATTAAAAGATGGTGTGGGTTATACAACACAGTGCAGCCATCTGGCTACACACTGAGTTACAACTGTCAGCGGCAAAGTGCCTCTAATTACCCCAGTGTGGGTCTGTCGGCTCATATTAGATTGTTCTGCTGCTGGATTCACACTGGAAAGATGGGGCCCGGTCCATCAGCAGATTAAACATGATCCTAAATCTTTCAAGGTCACATGTCATCTTCTAGGATTAGGCCTTAGATTGCTCCTGGGGCCACCCATGATGCAAAGGATATGGATGCATTCAGGGTGCTGTAAGGGAGACGGATAATAAATGGCCTAATTTAAATGCTAACTTTGACATAAATGGCATGTCTGACAAAGAGATGAGTTATGCACATGGAAGCCATGAAGGGAACGTGTTGTGTGTCATTATCTAGCTCATTAAAATTTAACTCTCCTAGCTCAACAAGTGAGCTGTTCTCTCTGCCATTCAACTGTCAATTAGGTGACAAAATGTTTACAAAATGGGTGAAGCATGAAAAGAGAGCGGACATGAGGGACAGGAAAATCCAGAGGGAGAGGATGATGTTGCGAAGAAGATGAAAGAAGAAGGCAAATGAGGTTAAGAGGTAGAGCCAGGAAAGAAACGAGAAAGAAATGCTCACGACGGAAGACAAAACAACAAGTATCTAAAAACTGGCAGGGAAATAGAGAAAGGAAAGAATATTTATTACACCTTTCTGTTTGCATGCTATCTGGCGTCTGGGCTGAGGCAGAGATAATGAAATGATAGGGAGCAAGGTTTGGTTTAAAATTAGGACTGACACATGGGAAGCTTATCCCAACACCAGGCCAAGAAAATGGGCGCCCCGTCACACACCTGCTCTGGTGAGATACGGAAGTTTGGACAGTAACAACAAAACTTCCCAGGGTAAGAGAGGAGGGGAGGAGGGGAGGAGGGGAGGAGGGGAGGAGATGGGGAAGCATCCAGAGCAGTCTTAAAGCTGAAAGTACAAACGTGTGTATTGTTGAGGGGGGACATACATGATGTTATATAATTGTGATTTAATTTTAAAGTTTGGTCTCATGCACTTTTTCTGTAAGTCACAACACCCATCTGACTGAGTTGAACCAATCACTGAAAATATTAAGATGGGCAGCATAAGAGCTATAGGCCATTAACACACCATCATGATTGACAGTTTAAAGTGTCATTTATATTTCTAGTCATTTGCTTTCACTGTTGTTAACATATGTTCAGTGGCTTTGATAATAACAGTTTTTATTATGATTAACATGATAATAATAATTATTATTTGGTGTATTGGCGGGACTCTGACACTCCAACATTTATTTTTGGCCTAAATAAAACACAGCAATAAATCACTTAATGAGCATCTCTGACTCTCATAGAAAATAAAACCAGTCTAATGAGACACTGCAAATGAGCTAATTTGACAGTGCTAAGGAACTTCTTGTCATGTCGGATAAACTAGAAACTAAAACAACTCATACACTCCTCTATTCTACCAAAGCCTAGGCCCTGGCAGACGAATCAGGAAAAAAACTTAGCCAACAGGATGTGGGTTAATAGGAATAAATGAGTCCTTACTTCTTTTCATTCTACGTCTATGACAGTTATTATAAAGTGGGCTAGGCAGCAGAAGTCTATAATAAATGAGGAAACTGATGAGCAAATGTATTAGAAAAGTCACTGTGAGAAACAGGCGAGCCTCCCTCATGCTCACAATGGTCATAAATAATGGCTTCAACTGCAATATCATTTTTAAAATCCATCATTGATGGCAGCCTGTGAAAGAACCGAGAACATTCGTTCATGCTCATCCATCCATCTATTATCTATACCGCTTATCTTTTGAGGGTCGCGAGGGGCTGGAACCAATCCCAGCAGACACTAGACGAGAGGCTGGGTTTTTTCACGCTCCGTCACATCATTACTTTCCAGTTAACAGCACTTCTCAGCAGTGACACTACCGCCCTGTCTGTCCTGTCATGTCTGAATGAACAGGTGAGAAATATTTACGTTAAAGTTACCACGTCTGACTAACAAAGATCATCACTCTAACAGATGAATCCAGCAATCAAAAACACCTAAATCATGTGGACAGCAGACTTGAATTCAGCAACAGTGGTAAACTTTAAAACTGCAATGAAGTAGTTTGGATGAAGCCTAAAATTGGGCAGAATGGACATTCGGAAGCAAACGCAAGACAGCACACAGCAGTTTACAACCCCTGCAATGCTCAAGTCTTGCAGCACCTTCACTATATCATGATGATGTAAAAAATGAAAGTTACACTTGCTCCAATATCGTTGTCGCATAAACAGCATGATGAGCTATATGGGATATATGGAGAGCTTACATCAACAGATCCAACTCAGCTCATTTTGCCAACCCTACAAAGACCTGGCATCAGCATTCACACGTCTCATCAAACATCTCTTGAGCTGCACCACTAATTTTCTGGCCTTCCAAAATACAGCATTAACTTCCAGCATGCTGCTGCCAGAATTTTCACTACAACTTCCAAGTTTTAATCACCTTGAATCTATCTGGACCTTCCTTCACTCCGAATCCAGGTAACATTTGTTCTTCAATAGTTTCTTCTAATGAACAAATCATTACGCAGGCTTGTACGGTCCTGTTTATCTGATTTCAACATTGATTCTGAACCCCTTCATGCTGTCTGATAGCAGAATGCTCATTACCTTGCTATCCCTAGAATCAAGGAATAAAAAAACAGACAGTTTCCCCACTGAGCTCCTCTTATCTTGACCTGACCTCTGTAAACCTTTAAAGTAAAACTCAGAAACCTACATCTAATAGTGCTGTGCAAGATTTTCACTTGTTTATGCTGCTTTTATGTACGAAAAGAGATAAGTCTATTTATAACCAAGTGACTTTCAGTAACTGCATACTTCCATGCGTCCTTTGCGATGGCATGGTTTAAAGTAATACATCCACTAGAGGGCAGCACATAGTCGAGAGTTACGATAAATTCACAATATCAACTTGGAATACATTTAACTACAGCGACTGTTTATATATCAGAAGACCAATGATCTGAATGTTGGTAGTTCCGTCAAAGCCAACACAGAAGTCACCAAACATCTGGAAAAGAGTGACACAACTGGTGCAACGGTGACGGGAGCCTGCACACTGTCACCTGGCCTAACGGGCAACAAGCCAGTTCATCAAGCATTCGTTGGGCTCAAATGAGCTGACGATCAACATCCATCAATTTGATATGCAATCTACGCATAAAATGACTATCAACAAGTCCTATTTGAACTATAAAGTATTGTTACCAATCCTTATCATGTTTAATATCACATTCAAATGCTAAAAGTTTGCCTTGTTCATTTGGAATTTTGAAATGGAGACACCTTGAATTATCTCAAAGACCTAAACAGAGAAGCTGGTGAATAAGTGGGTGACATGGTGGTTAGTTTTCCATTTCCTCAGTGTGCGCTCTTGGCATTTTACAGAATAATTATATTTGCCAAACTGGTCTTCGTGCATGGCATTATTTTATTATAATGAATTGCAATAAACAATTTAGAATGATATTAAATTGTTCCATAGTGAAAACAACATTGAGTTTCTGTCCCTCTCTTACCAATTTGTGTCCATGTATGTGGAGTCGATGAAAATAATAGCTCAGACAAATTCCTTTTTCAAAAAAGGTTTTTGTGTTTTCTTAAGAGCTTGATGTTCTTAAGAAAAACATTTGTGGTAATGTCCAAGCATGTACATGGACAGACTGATTTAATTGAAATCATAAAAAAAAATTATTATAACAACAACGAAAGTAGCTTTTTAAATATTGACCGAGAGTCAGAACTCCATCTCAGGGTCAGACTCGCTTACAACACTATGGGTCAAGGAAAATATGCTGCTTTTAATAATCACTGCCAACAGCTAAAGAGCAATCAATTTCTTCATCATATCAATCCCACCTCTAATGACTAACTAGCATTGCTGTCATACCACAGGAGTAAAGCTGCCTATACATGAACAGTTGTCAAAACTGACCTTTCCACTGAGATAAGCACAGACTCAATTCGGCAGCAACAGCTCAATAAAAATATGTGACTGGATGGATATACACTGTTTACCAGTATTCACACAGTGTTGTGCAGAGTCAATAAAAACCATCAGAACATTGGAAAACATAGAATTACATCTGGCATCAACACGTTAAAATCCTACTCAGACATATGAGTTGAGGTCGTTTCAGTAAAGAGATACTGAACCAACAGTAGAAAATGAGATTTTTCACTTATTGAGCCTCATGAAAAAACTAAGAGGACAAAAAGAGAATCCAAGGCCAACAAAAATGGTAAATAGACTGCTGATAATGATTCTGCAGTCTTATCTACCATTTAAAGCACTTTACACTGCAGTTCACACTCACACACACATTCATACAGTGCGTTCTATCACTCATACATCAAACATTCACTGGGGCCTTTTAGGGTTCAGAGTCCTGACCGAGGACACTTCCGACATGCTGACTGGAGGATTTGGGATTTGGACCATTGGCCCTCTGATTAGTGGATGCCCCGCTCCACCTCCTGAGCCACTGCCCCTCCTAACAATGTGCCACTGACCTCAGGTCATGAATGTATAATCATCTGAAATTGTGAATTGCAGTGTTTTCATTACTTTAGATTAAACCCTTCATGTCTGCATAAGGAGTGGGCTTTCTTCCATGGAGCCCGCTATGTTGTACCACCTCAGAATTAACAAACTAAGATATAAGTCATTGGTTTAATAAATGCAAACACATTGAAATAAAGACACGTCTACATGGGGTTGACTAAATTTCAATTGCAAGAATTAGCTGACTTTAAACACAAACATCGCCTCGATAATCCAGACGATGCAGTTTCATTAGAATTCACTGCTTGGCCTTAGAAATACACATCTTATACACACAGTTTCTTTCCTCTGATATCACTTGCTAATTAAATTTTTATTTCTACAAACACTTAGAAAAACGATACTCTGTGACCTTGATGTCAGATGGAATATCACAGCAAGCGATTTGTGATGCTGGAGATCCTTGACTTTATTGTACATTCACAATAACTTGAACTCTTTAATAGTACAAATGGGAATACTTACAGTCTTAAGTCAATATTTTAGCTACAACAATTACAAACACTGACCCAGCAGTAACCTACCTCAAGCTGTGTTGATGAGTCGAGCTCAGCTCTCTTGGCCTCGGGCTCTCCAGCGTAGGGGCCGCGGAGGGTCTGTAGGAAGAGCGCTGCTTTCCTCTTCCTCTCCGCCTGTAGCTGTTTCTCTTTGGACTCCTTAGACGCCTGGGCCAGCTTCTCTCTGGCTGCAGCTGCTAGACGATCCTCCAGTTTCTGCTTGGCTAAGGACAAAAAAAGATGAGAGTGTAAAAAGCAGGAGAACGATGGTTGGATGAAGATGAAAAAAAAATGGTAATGTCACTTTTTTCCACATTTGCTGCAGCTAGATATATTATACGTCTACTAAATGGTGATCAAAGAGGATAAAATAATTGAAAAAAAGATGGGAAATAGTAGTTGCATCCGGCTTCTTGGTTTATTGGTCTTTGGTCGGACAAAATTCAGAAGTAAGTGCGGAAAGAGAGTTTAAAGAGACGGAGGCTTAAAGACAGAAAATGTAATGTGGGGGAAAAAATATATAATTGAGACAAACAGGAGAAAAAGTGAGAGACCCAAGAAGCACACTATAATAAGAGGAATTTTATCTTGTGCCGTCACATCTAAATAAGGTGACGACTGGCATTTTCCAAGTTTCCCACTGCTGTCGAGTTCCTGCTCTAAATGATGAGGCCTGCAGTCTCTGGTGATACATAATTTCATGGAATACAGAAAAATCAAAGTAGGAGGAAACGTGGGTGGAGGAGAGGAGACAGACATCTTCGTGACGGTGGGGGTGGAAAATATGCAGTTTTTTGAGGGATGAGAAAAGAATATAAAGCGACGGGGATGGGGACAGAGAGGTGAGGGGAGCACAGGAACAAAATGGGGCGCAGATAACAAGAGGACGAGTGGGAAAGAGGAGACAGGACAGTGACGTACAAAGCAAATGCTCGAGGAAAACAAGTTGTATAAGTTACACAACCACTGAGGCTACTCTTATCGCGTCAGGGTTAAAAATAGGCTGGATGCCAGAGCAAATCATATTTGAGTGTGGAGTGAACAATAGTCAAGTGGAGCAGAATCCCTCTGTTCCACAGACAGTGACACAACACACAGTCCTGGCCACTCTGAGTCCCACTACTGTATTTACAGGCTCATTTGACATAACTCCTCTTGCGGCAAATTTCTGATGTACTTGTTTGTCCAGTGGGTCTTGTCAAATGTGAGGATTTGCTGCGTTTTAGGTTATCTTCAAATTTTCTGAAAATAAAATTACCGCTCTGTTCCTTTCTTAAGATGACGCATTTAAGAGTTTTGTGAGGTCACGTTGACCTTGACCTTTGACCTCCAAAGTCTAATCAGGTCATTTTTGAGTCCAAGGAAATATTTAGACCAAATTTGAAAGGATACCCTGGAGGTGTTTCTGGGATATTGCGTTCACAGGGTCACGGCAACCATGACCTTTGACTACCAAAATCTACTCAGATCATCTTGAATCAAACTGACAATGTAAGAATTATGAAGAAAGAAATCCCCCTCAATACAGTGCTCATAAGAACGAAACAGACGGATGGAGGGACAACAAACACATAATGCCTCCGGCCACTGGTCTTCGTACGACTTGTACCACTACCACTACTATTCAACATGCAGAGTCACTGGGAAATGTTTGCAGCCTAAACTATTCCTGTACTTATTACTGGGAGCTGTATTTAGCGTGTGCAGCAGTTTTCCAGCCCATCAGTACAGATTAGCGTTCTGCCGTCTGCCACTGATTCTCATGCTATCTGATCAAGTTAGGCTGCTGACTGACAACCACTTTACCACACAGCAAAGCCATTTCGGTCGGATATTTATTAAGCTTTTCCAGCCTCTTTCTAGGGCCATGTTTCAGATTAGTGAGACACTATTATACTCTAACATGGGTCCTCTGAACCTAAACAGGACCTGTCAGACCCCTTGTTGCTGTAAAGTATCATATTTGTCTTTGACGATCCCTTTGTCTGTCCTTCCATTCAGGATCTATTTTAGAGCTGTCGATAAGGGAGAATAAAACACCTTTGCTCCGTCCTTCCAGACCTCATAAAATCCTAAAATCAGTGTCTATAAAGCCTGCATTGTCTTTAGGGTTTTTGTGTGAACAACTGACTGGAGGTCTGGAACCTTAATCATGTGTCTGACAAGTAACCTCATTCGGTTCCATCAGAGTACAGTCTGGTACGTAATGGTAGGAAATCATTATCTCAGGCAGAACTAGAGAAAGACAGGATTTTGTTCCTTGTTCCCCTTTCAACTCTGTAGCACAAAACAAGAATTAATTGCTAAATTAAATGCTATAAAATAATATCACAGACATCTGACAATGTGACTGACTTTTATCTTTGGATGATAGAAAGATTTTAAGGAATAAAAGCAGTTCTTGTTTTTCTTCCAAACGTTTTCATGAAAATTCAGTAAATTTAATTCACCATCCTGCCAGACAGCTGCTCTGAGGTTAAAGATCATTTTAGTTGTATAGAGCGCAATTGCTTTCACACATCCTAGATAATGATTGCTAATAGGGAAAAGCAAACCACTTAGTGTTTAAATGGTATTTAAAAACAGACGATGATGACAGTTTTTTTAAATCTAAAGGTTAGCAGCAGCATATTTAGAAGGGGATGACAGTTAAACAAGAAAAACTCTTTACAAGTATAGTACAGGTAGTAAGTAAACCTATTGCAGCACATGTTTTTTGTGTGTATACATTTTTTACATGAGTTACTTTAGCACAGGCTGAATTGACCCAGCATGCAGTATTCTTTATCAACGCCTGAACAAAAGGGAGACAACTAAGGAGAGAATACATCTCCATTAGGTCTTTTAAGAGATATATGACAGTAGTTTACTGTACTACACTGCATGTCTCTTACTGCGGGGAAGCCTGGTGAAAAAATGCATAATTCAGACTCAGTGGATTTATTCATCTCCTCTCCTCTTTTTCCCTCAATTTTTCCAACCCTCCCAGAAAGTAGCAGCAGCCAGTGGGTGTGACTTATTTGTTGAAGCTGTGACACACAATTAAATGTTCCCACCCACATTAAAGCCGCGGAGCTGATAGGGAAAAAGGGGGGGCAGTTCGGACAGAGGGACAGAAACAGGCTCTGTCCAAACCATCAACAGCTGCAGGAGTTTATTACCGTTCTGTCAATCATGAAAGCTGACGGAGGAAGATGACTGACTTTTCTCTTCATGATGTGTTTTATCTTTAGTGATTACACAACCAGAATGAAAATCTGTATGAGTTGATTTGGTAATATATCTTCCATCAGACTTTGTTTTCTCTATTTTAGTGCTGCTTAATAACAGCATCAAAAGAAGTAGAGAACTTAAAGGTACAGTGTGTAGAATCAAGTGACATCTAGTGGTGAAATTGCATGTTGCAGCTGAATATCCCTCACTCTCCCCTTCCAAACATGAAAAAAAAAACCTCTGGTATCCTTCAGTTGCAGTAAAAACTCAAAAAGGTGTTTAGTCTGTCCAGTCTGAAGCACTGTTAAAAACATGGCAGCCTCCGTAGAGAAGACCCCCTTGATGTAAATATAAAGTATTTAAATATTTCACCTAAATCTTTAACACTGAACCTTTAAATTAGTGCTGTAGCTAATATTTCTGAACTTGTTACCTTGTTTTGCCTCCAACTCTTCTAAACTGAGAGAGGGTTTCTTCTCCTCTGGTGCACTGATTGGAGGAGGCTCCTTGTCGATCATCTCAGCTCCACCCAACATGGCCTCCAGTCCCTCCTCATCCAGCAACTTCAATCAAAAGTGTATAAAATGTGTTAACCTCAAATGGTGCCAAGATTTATTTTCAGAATGATATATACAGAAATTTTCTAGTCTTAACAACCCATTCATACACTTCTTTACTGCGCTCCTTAATGCAATGCTTTTCCATCAGACATGTGCTTTCGCACAGTGAAAGCAAGAACGTCTAGTGTCCTGTCCAATGTGGACTTGAGGATCAAACTATCTTCTACCTTCTGGTTAGTGGACAACTCCCTCAATGTCCTGATCCACAGCCGCCCACAAGCATCAAGGATCAGGTTTTATACCCAGACCAAATTACCTGTAGCTCTACTGCATGTGCAATGAACAATGACCAATGAACAGACAAATCTGAACCTGACCTTGTCCTCGTCCGAGTCGTCGTCCAGTCGAACTCTGTTCTTCTCCAGTGGCAGCAAATCATTTTCCTTAGCCTTGATGGCAAAACAGATTGGGGCAAAGGAGGCTGTGCAAACAGACAGAAAGTTAAACTGTGATTTATAAAGAAAAAAAAAAAAGATTCATATCGGGTATGTGCATGTAGACTACTGCATCGTGGTGTTCTTTTAATTGACTAATTCATAGTAAAATAAAATGAATTAGAACTACTCAAAGGAGCAGGACAAGGAATAGAGAAAAGGCTGGAGGACAGAGATGGACAATGAGATAACACAACAAAAGAGTAATAGGAAGGAGAAACAATAAAAAATGAGTTACTAATACACAAACACAGGCAGGACACTAACAGGCTGGACAAGATGCCGAATAAAATAAAAACAGTCCAATGCACAGGAAAACACAGATTCAACCACAAAACCGATATGAAGCAGCAATGGTGTGTCACATTGACTTCTATTTTGTAATCATATGTATTACCGTTGAGATGAAAGAGCCAACCGTGTGCCTCGTTCCCTAAAAAAAATAACCCTAATATGGGACCTTGATTCTTATTGTGGAAGGCTATATAGTTTCCTTGAGCGATTCTCCAACTAGTTATCAGTTTTCCCAGACCTGCTCCGTGACCTGTCGCTTCCAAATAGCCTGTGTGAATGCACGCCTTCATTTGCATATATGTGCATGTTTATGAGTCCCTCCAGTGTTGTGGTAAGCAGACGCTTTCATCTCATGCATAGACATTTCCAGCCTGATATCGCAAAATGAAATTGCTAGCATAAATACCAACAGACTCACAGGCAGCTGTGCATAAGAATACGAACACACTACAGTAAATATGTGCATGCAACCTCTAAGACATATTTTTCCTCTCATTTAATAAGCGAATGAACTGAAGAAGAGGAACGGAAAGTAGAAATATTTCTAAGTGTATTGGACCTACCTTTATTTAGCATTGAGTCCTTGAGTGACTTGTCTGACTTATCATCATCATCATCATCTGCTGTCTCACTCTGGATGAAAGAAAATAAAGAGAGAGAAAGATATAAACTTGAACTTAGTTTGAATTTTTATACAGAAAATCAGTTAAATTACTGTCAACGCCACAAAATTGTATTTTCCAAAATGAATCCACATTGTGGGTAAACCAGTACGACTTTGACAGGAGACAGATGGTGGTGAAAATGAGATTTCGTCGAAACCTGCTCAGCTTAATTTTTACATTATGCGCTTTTATGACGGTGCAATATGTGCGAAAAGTTGGTGTTTGAAAGTTTTAAAACAAGCAAGTCGTCTATCCGTCAGTTAGTTTAAAAAAAACTTTAAGTAGATGTGAAATGTTTGGATGAGTCACCTCTTTACTACTCTGCATCGCTTACCAATGAAACTTTAACTGTTACATTTAATTATTGTAATTAGTCCTCTGCAGGGTGCAATACACAGTCAAGGTTCACTCTTCTTTAAGATGTCTCCCTGCGGGGCTACTGCAAATGTTGCTATGAAAGAAAATTCTGTCTCCAGCCAGATGTATATTCTTTAGCACTTTTATATTTCTGCCATGGCAGCATGAGATGGTGATGAGCAGAATAGTAAAGGTCATCAGGGGATTAACAAAAGCAGAAAACTCTTTAGAGTCGAGCCAATCTAGTGAGATGAAAAACAGTGGGATTTATTAAACTGTGTACAGAAGCCTCTCAAGGAAAGCTCACATTTTTGCCTCTATTACTTTGCATTTCAGGTTGGCTGTGCAACACCTGACTGACAGTTCTCTCCTTCACTCACACATAAACATGAACTCCTCTTACACATGAATGGACAAACACACCGCTCACTGGACTGTCACTGCTCTTTGAATCCAATATGAGGGAAAAACAAGAATATAAAAGGTTCATTAAGGCAAGAAACTAAATCATGTATTTAGCCAAGGCTGTGCAATTCAATTATTTAGTTATATAATTAGCAGCTAATTGTAGTTTTTGTTAACCTTTATGTTACTGTTACTTTCCAATCCGTACAATGGAAACTCTTGGAAACGCATTATAATTTAAATCAACCTTTGAAAAAAAATGTGCAATGGTCTAAAAAAAAAATGGATAGATTTTAAATAGAGGTATTCATACCCAGCTAGTGTTAACAGTTTCTGAAATTGCATCATGTGAATACAATATTATTTCATTGAAGGATTAATTCATATCAGTATTACTTGTTTGGTCACACTTTTCATTCTCCTTTTTTTTTGCTGACAAGTATGATTAGTTTCTGTAGGTCTATTTAGTTGCTTAAATTGCTCTAAGTATCTTAATTGGCTTTCTAATATTCTACTAAATGGTCTGTTAGTCCTCACATCAACAAAGTACCTTCACAGAGCTGTTAAAGCTGGCTTGTGTGCACAGGCCAGATAACCAGAAACCCTCTGTGCTAATACCTGTGGTCCACGTGTTTTCAGCCACTATCCCAAATATAAAAGACTGATAGAATAAGAGGGAAAAGCAGTGATGAAGCCAATTCCACAGGAGGAGGGAAAAAAACATGAACCTCATGAGGTTCATTTTATCATGCTTGAAGAAGGCTTCAAAGGCAGATTCTACTATTCTGCTGTAGCCGAACAGAGCTTTCAACAGTCAAAGCACTTTACAGAGGCCCCAGAGAACATGACTCCAAAAAAAACTCACAAATCAAAGCTCATAGGAGACGCAGCAGGAAGAAACTCACTCATCATTCTGAGAGGACCTCAGCAGCAATATGCAGAAACTTGATAGCACTCATATAGACTCCTTAAGCTCAGTATTTAGAATAGGTGGACATTTTAATACCCACATGCTACCTTAACACAGCACAGGACAGGTCAGAAGGTAATAATCCTCCATGCTGAATGGGAACATGCAGCATTTCATTGCAGGCCTGCAAAATCTCTTTGCAAACCTTGACTGCTCAGCACAAGTGTTCGGATATCATGGGAATTCAAAATGACACATACTTTTTGCAAATGAAAAATGTTTGACTTGCTCTACATTTTGGATACTTAGCCTACGCTTGACGTCTCCCCAACTTAATTATATTGTTGAGCAAAGGAAGTCTGACTTTGGTTCATTTCAACCAATGTTGAATTCTCAGCTCAATTTAAGTGTAATTTAATTCAACCAATAAAGTCATTGTTCAATTTTGTCTTTGAAAATCAAATACATTTGACACACAGCAGAAGGGATGACAGCTGCAGTGATATACAGTGCATCCTACATAGACTTGCTGTGTTGTGCCCCAAATTCAATTGTCTTATTGAGGCTCCATGCCTTTTGTAAATGTGTCAACTCCTCTCCCAGTCTTAAATCTGACTTTAAGGAAGTTAATTATTTATTCTTTTGCTGTTCATATCTTAGCTTTAAGCCATATAAGACCTGCTGAAAGCTAACAAAGTAACTGCAGTAGCAGAAGTGGGGGAATACATTTTCCATTCGATTCCAGAAAACATATTTCTAGTTGTTTAATGTGAGTGTTTCGAACTGAGAATGTGTCGCGTATTAAGGGTCAAGTGTGTAGGATTTTGGGGACTCCATTCAAAGATATTATATAATATTCATCATTTGATTTTCATTCATGCATCACCTAGTATTAAGTTTGTCTTAGCTCAAAATGAGTCCTTCAAATCTAAACAGGGAGCACATCTTCTTTCCCAGAGGGTGTTTGAAGGGGTGTACAGTCGGTTGCAATCTGCCAACTCACAGCAAGATGGCACTAAATCACACATATGGGTTCTTCAAACCTGCCTATCAACATAAATCAATCATCCAGTGACGATTTTGCATTATTTAGAAAGTTTTCCCTTTATGGATAACAAAGTGCATCATTCCGAAAAATGTTAGAGATTTGAATGTTACGTAAACAGCAGACGCACAACCTGCTGCTGTCTGCTTTGACTGATTCTAGTCCCCTTTGTCACTTTTTTCATTAACTGTGAAACCATAAATAATAGCACTGACTGAGAGCAGTGATATCTGCATCCCATTACGCAGAGCACAAATCACAAACACGAGGCAGGCTTTTTGATAGAAAAGCACAGCAGCTGTTTGCTGGAGCAGCCTGGGCTGTGTCATAATGGGCCACACTCCTCTGCACTCTGACAAGCTAATGGATTTGATTCACCAGGAGACAAATTGCCCCTCGCAAAACTTTTTCGTTCGCTTCTCGCTACTTTCTTAAGACACACTGAACTCAGCAGCTCTTGCATGTATGTAACAGGGAAATCAAACAATTGAATAATAAGATTGCCCCAAAAAGTTCTGAATGAACTGTATTGACATGTGGATATGGCATCTATTTGTCCATCAATTCACTCAATATGTGTTCAAATCACACAATTCCCTTGTCTGGGAGGGATAACAGCTTAATGTGGTCTCCAGTGAATTGAGTGACACAAAATATAACAAATGAACCAACACCAGAGCAGCTATAAACCCTGAAAAACACTTTACTCAAGGTGCTCAATCCAGGCATATTTGTGCAATATTTAGTTGCCTGTAACAAACTGCAAAGATGACATTAACTTATTCACATACAGTAGATGCTTTCCATTATCTACATGATCAGCCTTACATTCAATCTATGATCTTGGATGTTATTGCTTAAAACCCCCGAGAAAACTAGCTGCAATTTTAAAACTATGATACAACTCAAATATCTGGTGAATACCTGCTGCGATACAATGCACGGTCCATTCATCTTGTGTGTCATGAGATCATATTCTGAAGGGACCTTGGCAAGAAAACAGGTTGTACTTTCATGAGTTGAGCTCATAATTGCTTTTATTTTGTGCAGTATGTAAGATTTATTACTAGTGCAGAGAGGATATATGATGTATCTCCTGTCTTCTGGATTATTAACTTCAAAGTATAAATTTCATACTTTCTAAGTCTGT